CCAATGACGGGGCCAAAATATGGGACTGCCGCTTATCGAAGTTTGTACTAATGGACAGGAGTTGCGATCGCTATTTGACACAGGCCGTGAAGTCGATTTGGTATATGAATCTACGGTGAAGAGGTGCAGCTTACCGGCTACTCGCTGGAGCATTCCCTGAGACTAGGGTTCGACGGTGGAAAAGAGATCAGGGGAACCGGAGAAGCCATGGATATAAACTGCTGGCTCGTTTCCGAAACAAGTCAGATTGCGCTGACACGGTGCTTCTACGTAGGACCAGTTCGCCACGACGTACTCGTAGAAATGCCGTTTGTCCGCCTAGTGCGGTCCTGCGGCCTCCATAAAACACTAGTGATGCTTACGAGACGCAATGAGATAGTGCACAACTCAGCGCTGCCGACAGCTTCGCATCGTCTATACTGAGAAGCGAAACTAGTGTCCCAAGAGGGAAAGATCTTGGATGCTCCAGCGCAGTGCAGAACCACTGCAGTAACTGAGATAGGCAGGGGCACCGCGGTGATTGTCCCAGGAAGACTGTTTTTTTGTTACTGTTCCTTCGGGGGATCAGTCCCACTTACCCTCCACAGAACAGCAGAGATGGCCACAGTTGACAGTTCTCAGATCTAAAAAATAATAGGAGGTCGCTAACGCCTGGCCCACTAGCTAGATGCTCAGTGCACGGCACAGAGCTCACTCCGAATGCGGCCGGCCGCTTCATTCCCACCTGCAGCCGCTCCTTGCCTATTCAAAACTAATATCGCCGGCGAGCAGCTTAACGGCTACAAAGGCAAGTTTAACGGCTACAAAGGCAAGTTTAACTGTCAACTAGCGCGTTCGAGCACAGTCTCATGCTGGGGTGGAAAACGACCAGGAGCTAGAGCATGTCCGTGGACTTCAAGTCCCCCAACAACATCACGGTGAATGCTCGATGGGAGGATACGACTAGACTGTTCCCACGGTTGACCAGTCTATCCACCATCAGACATAGCGTACGTGGTTCTACAGATCCCATAACACCCTGAGCAAGTTGCACACAACACCCTTCCATACCCATACTCACAAATTAGAGGGCGTTTCCATGCCCTTGCCGCTCAATTAGTCCCAAGAGGCTGTGGTTAGCCTGTCGATGCAGTTACTGGACTGCAGCGACAGGGTAATCACAGCCTCTTGGGGCTAATCGGCGAGGGCTGGATGGCTAGATGTATGGATACGTGCTTGCTTTTGGTCGGAGACTCCGTGGCCTACAGAAGCAGAACATTGCTCGTTACGCTTGTAAATAATCAACTCTTTAGGGTTTTCCACCTCTGGAGCGAACGTGGACAGCATATGGGAGCAATCAATATTACTCCTGCTTTGGTGATGTCCGTCTGAAGCATTATGGCGACGTGGCCAGACGAGCGGATCCATATTTGCGGTACAGAGTCTGAGATTACAAGGACCTACCGCAATTTCATTTGTAGACTCTGTGCATCAATGCTCACGTATGCGACGTGAAGACGGGGCCCGTCGTGAGAAGTGCTTAGAAGCACAACAAGTCAATTAACTTGTGTGTACTAATACTCCCGGTGGCCTTTTATGAATACGGGGTCTGGCCCAAGCAGACATAGCTGTACAGGGAAGGGAGCGCGATAGCACGTTTCAAGGGTAACATTCTGTGGAGAGCATATCTGCCATGGGTAGAGCAGCCGAAGCGCACGGTTGCCGCCGCAGGTGATAGTACTCTGTATGCCCGTACAAGCCACCTCCAAGAATATGAGATGGCTGGTTAAGGGGAGTCTGCCCAGTTGCCGTTTTTGTCGCAGCAACGATATACCATCGAGCAGCAAAGTGCCCTACTGCTGCTCCTCATAAGGAGTGCTAGATGCCACACGTCTCTGGAGACAGGGGACTGTGAAGTTCTATTTCATAAATATTTCGTGTATTTTCCTTCCCGTTTAGGGCGCCAACAAGAAGCATCTGCCTATGCTGCGACCACTACTAACGGCTCGACGCCATCAGCAAGAAGGCCAACAGATCGGGAGCAAAANCTGCCTATGCTGCGACCACTACTAACGGCTCGACGCCATCAGCAAGAAGGCCAACAGATCGGGAGCAAAAGAGGCGTAACGAGAAAAGGGCTTGATATGCCCCAGCACCAAGAGGGCGACCCTTATCTCTAAACCCAAAAAGCACGGAAATTCGGAGAGAGGCAGAGATAGACACAGAGACGAAGACAACGGGATAGCGCCAACATCCGGCAGAAAGAGGTCTTCTGAATGGCTGCTGCTGCTCCCTCGTGTTTTGCTGCACCTAGAACAAAGCAGAGAGCTTCGTATAGGCACCAGAATGTCTGTGTCGGGCCTGACGCGATGCGGCAGTGGGCGCAGCACCCCGAAGGTCAAACGCTGCCGAGCAAAACTCTAAACAATCGTTGAACAAGCAATTAGTGTTTGTTAACGGTGGCCCTGAGTGCCTTGTCTCCCGGGACAAAGACAAAGCTTGAAAATGCTGCTGCCGCCTCAGTGTCGTCGGCCTTAACAAATGCGGCGGAGGATCGCCGCTTCCGCGGAGGTCCTACAGATGTAAATGCATCCCAATCCCTTACCCTGCTACCGGCAGGCAGAGCACTCACAGACGTAGTCAAGCAAACACTGTCGAATGTTGGTGCTGGTGCTCCTGTTGTTGTTTCTCCGGTTTCCCCCCCTGCAGCAGCAGTCAATGCCCGTTGCTCTGCGGATGCTGCGGGGTGTCCGGTTGCCGTTGCTGCTGCTGCTGCAGACGATTTAAGAGAAAAGAATGGAGGGGCGGAGCATTCGGCAGTAGAAACGAGCTTCGTGCGGTGAGCAAAGCGNATTTAAGAGAAAAGAATGGAGGGGCGGAGCATTCGGCAGTAGAAACGAGCTTCGTGCGGTGAGCAAAGCGCGTCTTGGTGACGAGATCTCTGCGCACAGCGGCTGCCGGCGGGTCCTTGCAGAAAGCGTGCTTTTGCTGTACTTTGGTTGCTGATGCAAACTGCAGAAGGCTGCTGCTTCTGCAGCTCTGCCGACTGCTGCATTCTGCCCCTGTCAACGAGACTGTGACGTCTCCACAACCTGGGTCTGGCTCCGCGGTTGCTGCTTCTGCTACTGCTGCAGGCGTTGCACTAGTTGTTGCCGGCATTACATTTGTTGGTACTTCAGCAAGCGCGGGAGCAGCCCCGATCAGCTTCAAACTTTCGTCCTTCATGTCTTGCAGCAGCCTCTTGGCCACCTTGATACGTTCGTCGGAGTCCACCGCATTAGCAGTTGCCGTAGCTTCCTTGCTGGTGCGGGAAAGTGCAGTAGGAGCAACAAAGGCGTCAAGCGCATTCAAGACATCTTCAGGAGGGCATATTGTCAGTTTGTTTTCCTTCTTCTGCTGCGTGGGAGCTTCAATAGCGACAAACGCATCAGTAGGAGCGCGCGTAGCCAAGCGGACGGTGATTCCCGTGGCTTTTTTAATGTGTCGCTCCGTCTTGTGCTCCTCAGTTCCATCGAGAGTATCGGAGGATACAATATCTGTTGGTTCCTTCGGAGTCTCACCTGTCACCAGCTTGCTTCGAGCTTCCTCAATTTTTGATGCTATTTCAGCCCTCAGCTGCCTTGCCTCTAGCCCACAAAAGGCCTTTTCTTGGCAGTCTCGGATCAACGCAC